TTTTTTTTTTTATTTTTTACTTCCCACCCCCTTCTCCTTACAAAAAAACAAAACAAACCATTAACATACAAACAACCCCCACACAAAAAAACACAAAAAAAAAAAAAAAAAAAAAAAAATCAATAGAAGAAGGAGTGGCTGCTTGTGATCTGCTGAGAGTGCAGCATAGTTATAGCCCTGCTCTTCACCTTCCTGCCATGCAAAACCAGCCCACTGCTTCTTAATTGCCCACACACATGACATGTTTATAGACCACAGGTTCCTGTGCATGACATCTCTAATGCACGGTTTTTGACATGCAGCCATACCACTCCAGGAGCTCACCGCCGCACAGCTGGATCATTGCTGCATCTCCTCCTCTGTCCCAATGGATACAGCCCTCCCTGTCATTTCTGCAATAGCATTTCCTCAAATGCCACTGTTACCATGTCATTCTAGCACTTGAATCCCTCTCATGCCACACTCTTCTTCCTCATCCTTAAACACAGATGTCCAAGCCTACGCAAGTTGCTTATTTTGCTTCCAAGATTCTTAAGAGCCATGGCCAAACGTCTGGCATTGTTGATCAGCCAACAATTACTCTCTCGCTACATCCTCAAGCAAGCATCTCACACCACTTCCCAGGCTGCTCCTTCACCATAAAACATTCTCAAAAGCCAGTTAGTTGTTTTCCTTCAGAATGCAGTATAGAGCGCTGATTTTCACCACGTGTACAGACTTGCAAAGAGGTGATACAAAATACTGAGAGCCCAGACCCCTGGACGGCTCAGTGCAGTCTGCTCACTTGTCCTGTCTGCGTTTATCTCTTGCTTCCTACCATATGGATAGGCTGTAAAGTCTTTATGAACGAGAGAAATGTTTTCTCTAGTGTTTAAATCACACCTGTTTATAGCCTCTCTGACAGTACAGGTAATCTCAGCACAACACAGAAGAGTGTTTTCCTTTGGCAAACACCGTTTCCTTACATTCCTCCTGAATATTTGGGTGTCAGTTCAGACAACTGCACTCGAGCCTTTCCTGCAGCTCAGAAACGTGGCTGACATGTGATGCAGCGTGTCGCAATAGCTCGTGTCAGCCACAGAAATTCAGCAGCTCACGCTAGCTTACTAAGTCAACACAGTCAGGAGAATCAGGGCTGATGCGGTTAAGTAACACAAAGGCTACACCACATCTTGTAGCTGTCAGCCCAGCACAGGTAGGGTTCTGTTTATGTGAACTGTTGTCCAGTTATCTGTTTGTTAAAAGTACAGGTTTATTTCATTGTCTCACTCTTTGGAACATAAAAGCTCTTCTTATATTCATTTGGACTCTCTGCAGCAAAGAGCTAGCTTTAACTAGACACGTGTCTTTACCATGCACAGATGGCCAGGCTTTTTACAGAGCTGTACAGAAAGATGATTCAATAGTCATAAATTAGGCTGTGGAGGCTCCAACTGGATACTTAGAGTTTAAAAAAAAAACAAGCTATGAGAATGCTAAAGCACTGGGACAGGTCACCCACAGAGGAGAGAAGGTAGTCCCTGAAGAGTTTTTAATACTCAACTGAACAAACCCAAGTAACCTGATCCTAACTAAGGGCTCTTCTTGCTTTGGAGACGACTTCTTTGGTTCATTACAACCTGATAGTCAAAAGGTTTCATGGAGCCCTTTCAGCTCTAATTTTCACCAGTTCTAATGTATTTTCATATTTGCATATGTGAAAGAGCGGGTCTTATTTAAATTACACTTAATGAAAAAGTGGCATTTTCACTCACTTTAATAGAATAATCTAAATGGAGTTCTCAGTCATCTATGAATCTTCACTGAATGGTTTTAGAGAGAAAAAATAGCGTGGCAAAGTCTTTAGCATTCAAGTGTCCTTGGTTTTGTTTGCACAAGCAGACCTTCCATGCCAAGCCTGTGTAGTCTACTAAACACTGGCGTCACAGACAAAGCAATTCTTCTTTCCAGCTCTGAGCAGTGGGGACTGTGAGTTTTCGATGGCCCCATTAAAACAGCACGCTGCTTTTTGGACTGTACTGTTCCATAGCCATTTCCCCTAATGGCTACTAAGTGCCTTTAAACATTAAACCTTGTCTCCTCCAAGTTCCCAATTCCTTTAAGAGAAACCAAACAAAAATACTGTGGTTTATGAAGGTACCTTTACAAGTAATATGTCTTCAGCTCAGCGCTTATGTGCTTTCTTACTGATACACATTTATGGTACTGAGACACAAGTCAGCCTCAGCTCAGGCCTTGGTTTTGATCTCTGCTGGAGAGCAGGGGAAGATGACCAGGGCACAAAACACCCTACAGATAACAGGAACGTACTATGAACACATGAGCGCTCTTGAAATAAAGGTTTACCCTGAAAATGTTTACCTTACCATTACAAAGAACCAAAACAAAACAAATGACATTTTTTGCTGGTTTGGTTTTTGTTGATTTTTTTTAAGAAAAAAAAAAAAGATGGCTGCTCAGGATACAGTATGCAGCCAACACTCTGGTAAAGTGAAAACTTACCTCAGCGGGATTTCTTTGTGGTTAAAGATTAAAACAAAGCCCTTCTTCTTTGTTACCTATTGACCAATTAGCCTTGTGCAAAGCTTCCACATCAGAAATAGAGTTGAGCCAAGTTACCTCATTGGTTTCCCTTTGAACTGCTCACAGCGCAGACCTCACTGGACTTTGTCTGGAATGCACTTTATGCTACAGAAAACTGAACATATCTGAATCCTGCTCACACTCCTTATTGTGCACGTGTTCCAAGTGGGTCAGAGGATAAGAATGCTGTCACTGGAGCCCCTCTTTCAGTTGTGTTAGGTACTCCAGAAACCATTAGAGTGATCATTAGAACCACATCTCAAGAGAAGCCATCAAGTTCAAGTTTGTTTTGTTGTGACTCCTTATCATTTATCTCTTACATAAAACCCTTATTGCAGCTATTTGGTTATAGCTAGGGAGCTGGCATCTATCCGTGTTAGATGCAACGCACACAGGCTGTCACAGCAGGATCACCCGGGGTACTGCATTGCTTTACATTTGTTGGTTTTTATATTAACAACAATAATCTGAGGAGCAATAGATATTTAATTACAATAGTGCTTTTTTAGCATCCCACTTCCACTCTGCAATCTTTCATATGACTTCAGATTCTTTATTACATCTAGTTCTAATTGCTATGATTTTAAACTGAGTTTTTTGCTTTTATATAGAATAGTGAATAAGCCTTTCTGATAATCTTAGTAAGCATGTGAACAGCTTGAAAGCACAGGACTTTTATGAGATACTATGTTGAAAGCAATTTGTGTTTCCAATTGGCAATTTATTTTTTTTAAAAGGGGATCAGCCATAGCAAGAATTGTTGGCAAAAATGTCCAGAAGTCCAACAGATTTGATTCTACTGTCAAGATGTGGGTATTTGAAGAGATCATCAATGGAAGAAAGCTCTCAGAAATAATCAACCAAGAACATGAGAATGTGAAGTATCTCCCTGGATACAAGATGCCCAAAAATGTGGTAAGTTGGAAAAAAAAAAAAAAAAGTCAC